TAGTGCTTCATAGGCGATTGTTTGTCGAGACTCGGGTTTGCTTTATACTCCGATTCAGCCATCAGCTGGGTATTAGTGTAAGCTCGTTTTACTCGAAGGATAGAGTTCCCGCCGCGGTCCAATTCCTTTGTACGCGTCTCTGCAATTCGATAGCCTTTCATCCGGCCCCGTCGGCTTTCATCCGGCAGCTGCGAAATCTCTTGCAAAATATCTATCGTAATTTTCAGCGAGGAAAATCTTCGACGCGGCGTCGAAACATCGCGGCTGATCTCTCAGCCGAGGTACGATCCAATTTGCGTTTAGCGCGCCTCCGGCTGATCCCTAAAGAGTTCCTGTCGATCGTCCGCGAACGAAGTTACCGGAGAGGAGAGCTTAATCGTCGGCTGAGCAAACAAAAACGTGCTGAGACAGGGTTCCGTCGGCGACGGCTTTATCTAGCCAGATTTTACCCAAACATTTTTCGTGTCTTCGACGAGTCGCGATGCCGAGTATTAACGGCCGTCCACAGTTTCGTACAAATTTTTTGCCGGCTGTTAAGGCAGAAAAAAACGACGCGTAATATCTCGGTTAGGCAAGCCTCGTTCTGTCCATTGTCGCCGGGCTAAAGTTGTCCGGCGTTGTTGGAAAATCACGGAGGGGGAGAACGGGGTTGAAAACGGACGAGGGTGGCGCCGAGACGTCTCGTCGCCGGTTTACCGCTGCTTTATCGGCGTCGTCCCGTTACTCGCCGACGACGCTCAGCATCTCGTCCCCTCTCCTCTAGTTGTTTCTCGCTTTCCGCGTTCTCCTTGCTCCCCCGAGCGTTGGTTCTCTCCTGTTTCTCTATCGATCCTCTCTGCTCCCCGTCTTCGGTCGGCCCGGCTACGAGCCGCTCTCCGCTTCTCAGCCGTTCCTACCCGCCAGACGCCAGATAAGCGACGCCGATGACCCCGGCGAGCGATCGGCCCGAATTTTCCCTTTCTGGCATTTCTTTAACCGTGCAACTTCCATATGTACTTACGGGGATGTTTGCGTTTCGAGTCGCGGCAATTTTCTCCAACGACTGAGGGATATTCCGCGAAACGAGATGCAATTTATCTCACGATTCCATTTGCCTGGCGCCAGACGCAAACACGATCGTTCAGTCAGGTAATAATTGTGCAAATCCAATTGCCATCAGCTGAAAGACTCGGCTCGTTTCCCTTTTAACTCGATCAAAGAAAAAAAACAGCACATTTTTCTTGTTGACACAAAGCACAATCGTTTCTCATTAATAGAATCTGTTCAATACGAGTGTTCGTTCACGTGTCTGGTAGGAATAGAACGATCTTTACAGAACTTTAGGAGGAATAAAATTTCTTTAACCTAGAGCGGTTCGTCGGTTATATATATCTCAGAGCTTCTTCACATCTCGCAAGGCCGTACGGAAGCTTAGCTAGGATCCCGAGAACCGGGTGACCTAGAGCTTTTCGCGTTAACTTATTCAACGCGCTGACGCGGCGGTTTCCGTGCCGATGAGCATTTGTCCCTCTTCTCCGTCTTCTTGTGCAACGTGTTTTCGAAAGCGACGCACTTTGCCTCTGGCACAGATTTCTCCACCACCTACCTCATTTTTACGATCCAGACGAAACACGTGATAAGCAAAATCAGTAAATAATTTACACCGTTATTCCAAATCCTGTAGGACTTAATTTTATTTTGGAATAAGTACATTGTGGAACGCTGAAAGAATGGAAAGGAAGAGTTACTTTTTGTCTTTATGAATCGCGTAATCCTCTCAGCGAGAGGTACTACCCGTTCTCTTTCCGCCTTTATTATTCATGCACTTCCTGGGTATGTTATCCTTCTTATTACGCCCTTTGACAACCAGATGAGGTAATAATCCCATGTAGAGCGATAAGAATTTTATTAATTAAACGATTACAGCGTGAAGTACAAATTGGAATACGTGTGAAATTCATTTAGAATTTATTCAGCGTCGGCATAAATAGCCGTCGCTTTGAACGGTGGCGAGCGTTGTGGAGCCTGGGGTGAGATTCGA